TGGAAATAAGAGGACTACAAGCCTTGCTAACAAGACTATATATTCTTCAGCTGAGAAACCTGTTACTCATATTACTTTGAATTTTCTTCTATTTATTTTCTGAATCTCTCACTCTGGCTGCAATATTAGACTGTTCACTTAATTATTTTCTTAATCACACTAATTTCTATGCTTCAAAGAACTCAGTTACTTAATAGTTAATAGTCAATTTAATAATTAAGATCTGGTTGTTGAGATATTTAATAAATTTGTTGCATTGAGCAGTCATAGAAATCCGGCTCATTTAGTGGTGTGGCTTGTTTAGTGGTGATACGTTACCTCTTCTATTTGTAGGTCTGCTTTCTTAACTAGTCAAGCCCACCTGTTCAGCTTCCCATATAATCAATCCTACGTGACGTCGCTGTTGACACCCCGTCTCTGTCCCGTCTCGTCTCGTTACAAAATCATATAAAAGATGAGAGATTTACAACTCAAGAATAACAATTCCCACATCTATCTTGCAAATTTCCGAAATCTTAAGGCAAAGCTTGTATCTCTGAATGAGACCTTGGGCTGAGAGTGCTTATCATAATCTGTTTGTTTATATTGAAATTAAGGGATTGGCAACAGAAATTCATTGAATAAAGCGGGATGAATTCTACAGCAGGGGCCCTATTCAACCTTGATGAGTTGCTGGGTAACTAGAATGAAAGGAATGGATATGATTGATTAGAGTGATTTGGCACTGAGAAAGTGATATTCCATGTAACTTATAGAAAGAAGCGCGGTAGCTAGCCCCAGGCGTGCTGGAGCCTAGGCTTCCGATTACCTACGCGCTGGCGCCCTGCAACACAGCATATAGTAAAACCCCCCGTAGACAACAACTAACTAACTGCCAATACAACCACTCTGACGTCCAACATTTATTGTGATGGAGTGTGACATGAGATAATAATAAGCCTTTGGAGGTTTTATCCCCCGTTCACCGGAGTCTCTGCTTCTTTCGATTTCTTTTAATGCTTTATTACATACTATTCCTCGCCCACTGTTGGTTCCGGATACCAGGTTCGTAGCTCCCTTATGACTCCCAGTATTCCGCTGGTGTGAAGTAGTAGCACTTTCTACAGCGTATTTCCCTTCGCATTGCCCTACCATCTAAGATTGGAATTTACGGTGCCGAACATCTAGTAAGAGTTTTTTTTGGTGAGAGGAACCGTACGACGAAATTAACGGATGTCAACCAAACTCAGCCTCCTACCAACGATTCTAAGATAGGATTCCGTGTCTCTGGGCTACTTCGGGAAAGGAAACACATTCTCGATACCGGAGTCGATATAAAGAATGCACGTCATGGCTGGAACCGAGAACGAAGACCCGGTATTCCAGTTGATGATATTGCAAATGACCGAGAGAAGCTCGAAGAGAAAGCTAAGATTGAAATGCGACAAATCTGAATCACAACAGCTATCTTTTTTGATACATTCCAGTTCGGAGGAAGATGTGGTTTTAGACCCGAGTGGATAGATGTGAAAAAGTTTGAATCATCGCCTAGCGTGCGCGCTGTTTTGTTGCGAAAACGAAATCTTGCCGGAGGCGTCGCTAGAGTTGAGGGAAACCCACCAAAATATACCCTAACAGACAAAGTTAACCGGAACTGTTCTGGTCGCCGCAAATCACGGAGAGGCGACTGTTCTGTTAGGCTACCCCTCAGTCCGGTGTTTCCACCGTCGAAGCCAATGAGAGATGAGTGTTCTGGATAAGTTCAAAGCGATCATGACTAGTAGCTGCACCTTTGCCCTCCACCCAATCTTCGAATCCATTTTTTTTTAATCGATGGATGGTGTGTCGCGCCATACCAGGGGATTATCAATTGAATATAGTGCAACATTGGGCAGCTTGACTGGTAACCTTGCAGCGAGCCGAAGATACTTTTGAATTGCTCGGGGTTGGAAGATGTCGATTGATGTTTCTGCAGAAATCCGATAAGATGCATAATGTCTAAATCGATAACTGATTGAGGGAGTTGATCTGAAAGAAGAGATATCTGGAATCCTGGAATATCGTCCACGTCAATACCACACTGGAGGTTTGTCATTTTTATGAGTTTGGGCTATCTGATTGCGCTGCCGAGGAGTGTCTTTTTTCCTTTCGTGGACTTTCTGGTCATTATATTAATAAACATTCATTATGGTGCAAAGATATACATAATATACATACGAGAAAATGAGTCTAGAATAACGGCTCCCTTCATCGTGGACGCGCGGAATTGAATCCACGCGTTGACCACGACTGCCACGAACTTATTTGTTGTGTAAGACATCTGAGATACGCCTGTGTTTTGTTGGAGGTGGGTCTGAGCTGTGTAGCTCGTCTTTCATCGATTTCCCAATCTCGCACTTGTCACAAACAGCATTTGCTGTCTTTTGTAGCCCTTCCTTTCCGGGGTATCTTCACCCCTTCTCCAAAGCTTTGAAATGGACTTCCGCCGATCAAATTTCCCAAGTTTGGTGATAGGCCCAGGAAGCATGCATAACATAAATATGGTAAACTGTTGGGAGATCTCAGTAAATCTGCTGCAAAAGTTTCCGGACTTGGAGCAATCTGTACTGTTGCGAAACAGGTAATTCCTTCTCCCGAGACTTGACAACAGGAATTGCCTTATATGTATGTACATTAATACTTTTTATCTTGGACAAGAGTTATTATAAACTCAGCGTCAGATGAATGAATTCGTGGTCAAATTAGCGTGGAATCCAAGGACGTTAGTCAATGATATCATCGAATTCAGTTTTTGCTTTAATATTAATTCTTCCTCTATAAAGGAAAAGGAATAAAACTAAAAACATTAGAAATGAATTCTCATAATCTTGAGGTCCTGTGATCCGGGGTATTTTGTTGCTGTGTTTTGGTGATGAAACCCCGTGTCCCAATCCCATTCTATGGATACTAACATCCCATCCCATCCAACCGTCATGAGAAAAACATAGAAAGGGAAGACAAAGCCAGCCCAATTTTTCAACCATAGTTACTCCAATCCATCTCTAAATGGGAGACAAGTGACAAGGATGAAAAAAGCAGAAAACTGAAGGGAAATTTGAGTAACATAAAAAACAGAAAAGAGAGGTGAGAGTCGTATATAAATATATACACTCCAAATCATTACATTAATCCAATCATGATCCAAAAAAGTAAAGAAAAAAAGACGTAAAGAAAACATGATTATTACAGAGACCTTCACCCCGCCCTCCCCCCTCCCTCATCTGTATATTTTCCCTTACTACTCTTCCTCCTCTCATAATTCAGCCACCTCCCCCCATTCCCCTCCGCCAACACAAATCTCGGAATCGGCATCGGTAGCGGAATCGGCTTCTCTGATGCTTTCACCTCCCCCTGCCCATTTTCAGCTCCACCTTCAAATTCCTCAGCCTCGAAATCTCCAACACCATCACTATTCTCATTATCCTCATCAATCTGCCTTTCCATTGTCTCTGCCTGCGCCAACGGACTACTCGGCACAGGAAAAGATGAGAACGAGCCAGACCTAATCCTACTCAGCGCCTTCTTCGTGATCGTTTGGCCCGCGGCGGGCGAGGCGACGACCACTGTCCCCTTGGAGGTTGCTGGGCGTGGACCGGGGCTGCTGGACCGGAAGAGCGGGTGGATGTGGCCTTCCAAGGACTGGGAGCGTAGGAGGGTGGGGAGTATGGGGGGCGGGAGCGGGAGCGGATCGTGATGTTGGTACGGGAGCCAATGCTGGTTCTGATGCTGCTGATGTTGCTGGCGCTGCTGCGGGGCAGAAGGGGAAGAGGACGGGGAAGAGGAGGGCGTGGCTGAGTTTGAGAGGGAGCGGGAGGCTAGGGTTGGAGATTCGGGGAGGATGGAGTCTTCATGTGGAGTTCGGGGGGGCTGTGGGGATTGCTGGTGGTAATCCTGGGATTTCGAGAGGGTGATTGTTGTGGCTGTACTTGTGAAGGAGGAGGTTCGGCTGCGGGATTGAGTTTGTGGTTGGGTATTGTGATCATTATCGCCTTTGCCACTGCAATTAGTATTACTTTTTTGATTGAGATGACTTGGGTTTTGGAGAGTTGATTCGAGGAGAGCGTCGTATATTTCGCGGGGGACGCTGGATGTGTCCCACTGATCGAATGTGTGCTCTTGTTCCAGCGGGCTGCTGCCGCCTCTGTGAGGTTGGAACTTGTGCGTGTACTGGTAGATCTTGGAGTTTTGTTGGCAACCTTTCAAAAGGTGCGAACTGGGCCATAAAGTTCCTGAATATCGAGATGACTTGGAATCCATTTCCTTTGGGTTGTAGTGTGAAGCCACTTTGGCTGTGGGAGGGCGTTGGTGCGGTAGTGATGCGACACATTGAAGCGCGACTGATGGTCTCTTCCTCTCAGTTCTCTTTAATAATCGCATATTGGTCAGAAGAAAACTGGCTGTGCTAAAATTGATACGAGAGATCCAGTCGCTTCGTAAGGCCGGATTATAATTCTGTGGCAATGCTAGCCCGATGTAGAATGATGCCTGGAAGATGATGGCGATAATCCAAACACCACACCAAGCGCTGTAGAGTGTCCGGGTGCGACGCGGGATTGACATGGAATTCTGTTCCCTGAGCAAGGAATCAGACAACCACAGGCAAATTGCGACAACAATGAGGTCTATGCAAAGGATTGTGCCCAGAAAGATAAATTCTAATCCTCTCCACGACTTCCAGAATTCCCGGTCCCTGACTGTATCCCTAGTGAACGAGAGGATGAGCAACCCCAGAATAATGGAGCTGATAACGGTTACAACCAAGCCCATATATGCTACGAGGGCCCTGCCAAAAACTGCATTGTCAAACGATGCCGCGAATACCCCGTTAACAATGGTTGATATCACGGTGCATACGATTGCCGACGTGCCCAGGGAGTAGAGGACAACAGACCTCCGCATTTTCGCCCTGCGTAGTAGGCAGCTGTAGGCGCACCGGTGGTTTTAAAAAAAAATTGGAAGAGACGGATTCTTGCGTGTCAGATAAATGCTGCGGTTTGAACGTCACCCACGCTTGGTTCGAATACAAAGGCAGGAGATTATCCACAAATTTCCGCTCAACACAGAATACTCGACTGAGAGGGCTCGAAGAGTGTCAAGTCCGACGCACAGTTGGTCCAAGAAAAACGGATGGTCTTTGAACATGGGGTCTACCAAAGAGTATTAATGCTTCGGTAAAAACACAACCGGTGTCAGAAAGGTGTATCTGCTGCCATCGGCAGAAAGACGCGATGCCTACATGAACAACAACGCGCGATATCGACAAAAGGGTAAAGATAAAATGAAGGTAAACCTTTCAAACAAAAGCAGTCTTGAAACGAGAGAGGAAATAATGCTTTGTTTATGCTGCGGACCCCAATGTGGGACAAACGGGGCTTTTATAATTCAACTGCCACAATTGCGCGTGTATGTGGGTGGTCTTGTCCACGTTACATGTGCCGCATGAACGCTCCACAGCATAAACAAGAGCAGAAAAACAAAGATAAACTTTGAGGGCACAGAGGGGCCGAAGGAGACAGCTCGAGTGGGGTCTTATCGACCCGGAACCATGGGGAATAAACGGGCATAAGGAACGCCATTTTCACCCAGCATCATTAAGACAAACTGTGCGTCATCCGAATGGTGTCGAGGTCGCAATGTGCCTGTTGTTATTTGTCAGGAGGTAAGGATTTAATCTTAAGGATGGGGATGGAGAAACCGGTTGGGTCAAGGCAGAAGCAAGGAATGACCTCGGGAGTTTAGCGAAATGACATCCAGGAACAGGAGTTAAAAGGCTGAATCCTGGCTATTGTCCCGGAAATCTAGATGGGTTTGTTGAGCAGCTATTGTGTTTTAGTGCACGTCTTTTCCTGATAACGGACGATCAATTTCGATTGTAGAGCGCTGAAGCAGTCATCTCAGAAACAGGGGCTCTGTTAAAGAAAATATGCCCGGGGTCCTTGTTTCGCGATCCCACCATCCCGGTTGCTAGCAGCCATACTATATATAATATCAGCGAGTATTGAAATAGCCTCGAGGCTTCGACCTAGCCTCCCGCCCAGGCCAAGGAAATGCAGACGCAGACTTGCCAGGCCTCCATCTTTTGTGCCTCTGACCAGCTCGACCACGATTTACGGAGTAGGCCTTTCGAGAACGGCATCTCATGAATGCGATGAGGAAACAGAAAATGAGCGGGAATCACCATCGAGCGAAGTCGTCGGGATAGTTATTCATCGTTAGCTAACTAGTTACTTCTGATGCAAGCCACAAGGCTGGAAGGGATTTTCGGAGGTTTTGTCCCGCCCACCAACATCCAACCGTTGCACTATTGTTGCTGTAATGAACCGGGGGCGTGCAGTTGAGCGTGGTTTTAAAATTCGGCCGGAAAAACCTTCGGCGTGGTCTAACATTCAGACCATGACAACCCCTCATTAAATGCCTGCACCAGTCATATTCTCTCACACACACACACACACACACATTTCAACCGCACATCTCTAATAGATGTGCTCTTGATGGTAGTGAACTTATCATATTTCTTCAGGTCCTTACTCTTAACAATCCCTAATCCTAACCCTCAATCCTAATCCTGGTGTTGAGGGCGTGAGGCTGAATAGAAATATATGAGTAATATGTGTGGCAGTAACTAGTTATGTGCAAGAGAGTATATAAACTGTTTAATTTAGATGGGAGTGGGCCCAACTTATAAATCGCGTTCAACCTTATAAAACCACGATGAACTGCGACCCTATGAGGCGCAGTGGATCTGGACCGCGAACTAAGGTCCACAATGACGATTTGATATCGGCTAAGGCCCGGGAATTTGACCCTGGTTTGGCCTCTTAGGTATCCGTCGAGCTGGAGGCTTCAACAGGAGGAAATCACGTATCTCAAAAACTAAATGTCAATGAAGAACATTAACCTCGCAAATCAGAACCCAGTTATCCTGTTTTGAACATGGTCGTGCTGCTTGAGGGCGGGATGTTCTCGATGTGTCCTATTTCATTCATAAACCGGGTCGTTAACCATGGTTTCGTCAAATGGTCTAGAATGGATTCGAAGCTAATTTATGCCGTTCCGCGATATAAAAAAAAAACAACGAGTGTGCCTTGGAACTTAACCGCCATTAACCAGCAATAATTATGCACTCACCCAGAGCTTTAATAAAGGTCTTCTACGTCATTTCAATGCTATTAGCCAATGATAAGAAGAGAACAAGCCATCTAGCTTAACTACCCCTCTCTTGCGTCTCTGGTTCTTGGAAATTATGCAGGTAGTTATTTCTACCCATGATGTCACATGGTGCGCTTCTCTTACGTTCAAACTGATTTTCAGTTGCAGCAAGCTAACTACGGAGGAGCAGTTTCTACGTGCTCCTGGCTGAAATTCCGATTTGGGGCTGTTCGGTTTTGGTCAAAAATGTCAAATGCTATGACAGCCAGAGATGGCTCCGGGGATATATATGAGCATTGCTAACGCCTAAGCCGACAATTCCAATCCATATGTTGCACGGCACCTTCTTGCGATGGAAAATCTTCGGAAATATCACTTTTCGTTTTTGGGGGGGATATAAAACTCCGGGAAGATTTGAAGGGGAAAACAAAGCTTTTGAATCCTTATAGAGTGACCCTCACAAGATAGAGAAACGAAAGCCAAACAGCGACATGGCCACAAATTCATATTCTGACTGATCCTTTTCCAGGAGAGATAGGATTGGCAAAAGCAATGATGAACAAGATACAATACGACCTGCATGGCCGAACTATTACTTCATTGTTTTCCTTCTCTTCGTCTTCTATAGAACTGGAAATCAACCACTGATTGTAAGCCACTCGTATGTGATGGTTAAAATACTCTAATAGTTATGGCTGTCGATCCAAACCTATCTCTGTTGACTTTTGAGGTACATAATGATTATCTCAATGTATCTGTTCACTATATACGGAGTATTACCAAGAAGCTTCATATCTTGGCAGGCTATAAATAGACGTGTCACTTATATATACCCTCTTTGCTCTGAGTTACGAAGAGACAGAGAGAGAGGTCCTTAGTGTAGGGTAAGTATCTGTGCATGTACATGCATATTCCACCGAAATTAGACCTTTAGTTGAGTGGCGTACACCGCATGTATCTCCCTCTTTATTATACTTAGTGTTTATATTATTCCGGGAGAGGGAGTGAATAGATGAGGTGGTAGAGGTATATGGAGGAACTGTCCGCTATATGTGTTCAAGAGTCTTCATTCAATAATATTCGCAATAGGCTGACCTGGTTGGTATGGAGTGGAGCTATACAGTCACTCCTCTGGTTAGAAGGCAGTGAGGGTTGCCAGTACTTTCGCGTTAACTAACAAGTACCGTACTATGCAATTATTTCTGCACCGTAAGCAACCGTTTCATGGGACTTGTCTAGAGAAGTTACCAGAGAAATAACTGGTTCGATTGGAAACCCAGATGCCAAACATGAGAAAGAATGGTTAGAAGGCCCAGCTAACCGTTTCAGAGACGATCCAAACGTCTCACATCAGTCATTCGCCTTGACAGTTTTGGGGATTCCTGGAGCTGGAGGAGTTTGATCGGAATCAATGGAAGTGGAGAACGGAGTAAACCTCTCGCTGATCTATTAACTTGGTTCACAGGAGATTGAGAAGCACTGACAGGTATATGAAAAGGGATGCACTGATTATTCCTCCTTTATGGTGCGGATTCAGGGGGTTGTTTGTGGGTTTCTTTATTACGATATCTTTGAGTGGTTGGTTTTGAGCTTGAACTTCCCCACGGCTGAAGTTAGTTAGTTAGTCAATCGAACTAACTAGTTAGTTTTTCAACCAACTTTACTAGTTATAACTATCGGTGTTTACAAGGCTCTTGACAGCTTCCGAGATTCCATTATATACACAATAACAATCCATGTGTAGATCCTTGCTCCGTACGAAGTTAGCAGTTATGTGCCCTAATTACTAGAGAGCAAAGTGCGTGGGCGCAATAAACGATAATATAGACAACTATGCACGGGCTGAAGGATGAAAGCCACTCGGCAACGGAATGACTTCACTTCTTACGATGTTGGATAACTACGTATTCCCCGTCACTACAGTTACTTCAATTGTATTGTCTCAAGTAAAGATCATTCTCCGCCTACCAACCTAGCGCTTAGTAAGATGTCCAACTGCTTGTTTGACAGGGGACGTTGTTGCAGTGTTACTTTAGATCTAAAGCATGACAACACCTGCAGCCAATAATTTCAACAGGCTTGTGGGCATAGCCGGATCTCCGTCAAGCCTGAACGAATCCCTTCGGCATAGCAATGCTCAGTGGAGCAATCTCCGCAGACATGGGTATTCACATGAGGGATGCATATATCATTTCTTGTTAGCTCAGAGCATCAGACTCAAACTCGGACTCAAGACTCAAGCTCAAGCTCAACCACGTGTCAACACCATACGGCAAACTCCCAGAATAGAATAATATTATCCGCTGACGTTACGGTGAACCCTCCAGCGGCTTCCCCATGGAACCAAGGCTCCATTTTTATATTTACTCTGGCACCATCGCGCAACCGCGCCTTGGAGCTTTTCCCTTTCGCCGATTTGCTCTCAACCCCCCATCCTTTCCTTCGCATATCTCCAATCTTTAGATCTCTCACACCCCGCCCCTTTAATGTAGCTGCTACTTATTTTGACTTATTCATATTCTGTATCTATCTAATTTCTGCTATACCTCAGGGTGACAAATGAGGGCCCGCTCGCATCTCACGAATTCCCCACGGCCTATTTCCCTGCCACCTCCCTTCCAGTATTGACCAGGGACATCAATATTTCGCCCTCGGGCAAACCCCTTCCTTGACGATGAAATGCGGTCTCCGCTTCGCCTTCAGCACAGCCTGTCTAATCCTCATCTTTCTCTGGTTTCTGAAACAGCACGTCGAAGACATCCTTGACCAGTACAGCGGGGGATCCTATTTTGTTGACTCCTTTAATGCGCATTTCCACCCGGAGATTCTCAACTTCCCGCAAGGTTCAACGACAGCCCAAAATGTTGAAGCGGGGGACAAAATCATTGTTATGGCCAAGCTAGAGGAGGAAGATACTGATTGGGTACAGAAGGAGCTTCCAGAGTATATTTTTATTTCCCCGTTGCTTTATTTAATTTTGTTGCCAAACCACTTTCAACAATCTAACCAACGACGCAACACAAATTATAGCTGGCAAAGAGCCATATACATTGTCAACCCATCCCCGCAAGCCCTAAATGACCCCCAAACCCTCACTACCCCAACAAACAAAGGCCACGAATCAATGGCCTACCTCTCCTACATAGTCGACAACTATGACAAACTCCCCCGCATCGTCGCATTCCTCCACTCGCACCGATCGGGATTCCTACAGGCATGGCATGTCGATGCGCCCTTGCACAATAATGTCCTCGCAATGCGCATGCTGCAATTGGACTACGTCCAACACACGGGATATGTCAACCTGCGCTGTAACTGGAATCCAGGCTGTAAAAAGGAACATAGGATAAATAAACATGTGACGCAGGAGGTGTGGGAAGAAATCTTCTGGGGGACAAGCACGCCGCCGCGGAACTCCTCCTCCTCCTCCTCCTCCTCCTCCTCCTCCTCCTCCTCCTCCTCCTCCTCATCGACGGCATGGACAACGACGGCAGTGGAAGAAGGAGCTGGCGCAGGAGACGACGACAACAACCCCTTACTACAGGGTATGGAGAAACCCAAAGAACTGGCAGCAGCCTGCTGTGCGCAGTTTGCCGTCTCGCGTGACCAGATTCGCAGGAGGCCCGTGGAAGACTATATCCATTTCCGCGACTGGGTTTTACAGACGAAGAGGAGCGATGCGAGCAGTGGCCGTGTCATGGAATATTTGTGGCATATTATTTTTGGGAAGGATGCTGTCTTGTGAGTTTTTTTTTTTTTTTCGTTCTCCTTTCTCCCTTGCTCTTTTCATACTTGTATTGTATTTCTTTTCTTTTCTTTTCTTTTTTATACCAACTAACAGATTCCCTTTTTCCCACGGATAACTAGCTGTCCGAATGAAAACGTTTGTTATTGCGCTGTCTACGGACGATGCGAATAACAACCCTCCCCAAAATTCCTTAATATATATACATAACCCCACTCCTCCCAGAAACTAAATTCCTCGTCCTTAAATCTGTTTCTTTTATCGCGTGTCCTTTGTTCCTGCTGGATGACCCGTTATTTCTCCATTCATTATTAGTTCCTCTGGTTTCCCATGCATATAGTATTAAGAGATAAAGATATAACCAAATCTACTAGAGGGTTCCAGGTCGTCTGCTATTAATCTCGACAGGGGCTGGCTGTCATGGTGGCAGGAGGAGTTTGATATCCCTTGCTTTCCGTTTTGTTTGATTATTTTTCTTATGTTTTGGCCAATTGTTTCCCCCTCTTTTGCATTTCATAGATTTGACCGTCATAAGACATACACACAATCGATAGATTCGAGCTATATCCGAAATCGCTTTAGCGATATCCCCAGTCAGTCTTGTATTCGCAGTCGCGGTTACCCGCTCAGCAATAATATGCAAAATCCCATTTACATACCTAAGTAAATGATGTTTGAAGAGAGCAGAAGTTTTCAGATTGGGCCAGGAGACGGCAAACAAGGTAAGAGAGAGAGCTACCAATCATAACTAGGTAGCTGCAGGATCATGATTATGGCTGTGACACTTCGAATTCGACTTCGATATTGTGGCGTTTATGCCGGTGGCTAACTAAACCATTATAAGTAGTTAAACAGAAGTGGAGCGCAGAAACAACAAAAAGGCAAAAAGGCAAAAAGGCAAAAAAAAAAAAAGAGTCATTTTGAGTCGTGTAGGACTCAACAACTAGTGTAGGTGCTGCCATGGCAAATCATCTTTACATTATTATCTCTTTTCTTGTTATTTTTTCCTAGGTATATATACATGCTGCATGTCTGGCCGCAGTCACAGAGAGTGTTTGAGAAGTCAACATACGGATATTACCAGGAAATACCACAATACCAGCCCTATCCCAGCCCGCAGTACACTTCCCATACCATAATTTACAATACTACTTTCTGCTGATTGATCCAACAATCACCTTCCGGCCAACATCGCCTCCTTCAGACAACAGAAAAGCCCGGTATTTTCATCATCCGACGACACAACGTGAATTCCTGCTAAGGTATCTATATTTCTATATACGGCGGGAATTCCATCCAGCGGCTTCTGGTCTACTATACACATATTCCACAAACAGCACATCTTATCTGCACGAATTCCCTCAGAAGCGGCATCTCCATAGACTGACTTAGTTATACGGAGTAACTAGTTAATTCTCAACTACCGCAAAGAAGTTCCTGTTGCCCCCTCATTCTCCCCTCACCCACCTCCACCACCCCACGTCACAGGAATTAAGGGAACAGAAACGGAAAAGGACGAAAAATCGAATTGCAATTCTAACAACTCTTTTTACATCGCATCACTTGCGACTGTCTCTTCTCTACAAACTTATCACCGAACACCTTGCGCCGCACAACTAAAATTGATAAAATTCATCGTCCACTTGCTGCATATATATCTCTCTATTCACAGTACAAATAGACAGACGAAGACACAAACGAAAAGTTACAGCTAAATCATGGCGGTTCGTGCTCGGTTTGAGAATTCGAATGAGTTAAGTATTTTCATTTTTCCTGGTTTTTTGTTGGACGTTGTTTTCCCTCTCCACCTTAATTCTATCTTGTATTATCTTTTTTCCTCCAGCTCTTTTTTTTTTTTTTTTTTTTGAATTGTGTAATCCTATCTTTTCTTTTCTTTTGGCTAATGATTTTCCCTTAATGTATGTAGGGTTGGTGTATTCGCAACATTGACGAATTCATATGCTCTGGTTGCCATTGGCTCGTCAGAAAACTTTTACAGGTATGTTTGTGTTTTTGTTCTTCATTTCGGTTTAAATGCTTTGTCCTGGGTTTTTTGGTTCCGAGCCAGGTGGGGAAGAGGAAGAAGAAAGAGAAGAGAAGGGGTGTGGAAAAGTGGATTGGGGAGGATTGGGATAATATCTTAGATATATTATCTGTATATCTGCTCTTTGGTCTGATGTGTTCGAAGATGGGAAATATTATAGAGCTGCCAACTAACTCTCTTCCCGAAACCCAGCGTTTTCGAAGCGGAATTGCAAGATGTCATCCCAATATGTCATGCTACCATCGCCGGAACGAGAATAGTTGGACGATTAACAGCAGGGTATGTCATATCATATCATATTTAATCTCCACACCCTCTCTCTTCCTATTTCCAGTCCTCTACAACGCCGCAGCAATAAAGTTGACCATTTTCCATTTTCTTTTGCGCTTAGGAATCGCAAAGGCCTTCTTGTTCCCACCTCAACCACAGACCAAGAGCTCCAGCACCTACGCAACTCGCTCCCAGACGCCGTCAAAATACAACGGATTGAGGAGCGATTAACAGCCCTCGGGAATGTGATATGCTGTAATGACCACGTCGCCCTCGTCCATCCAGATATCGAACGCGAAACAGAAGAAATGTACCCAAACCCCACGTTCCTCCCATCCCCCCCCCCTTTCTCCTTCAACCCCCCTAATTTTCAAAAACAGTTTCCATTCTAACCTAACCCCCATAAACAGAATCTCCGACGTGCTAGGCGTCGAGGTTTTCCGCCAAACCATCGCCGACAACGTCCTAACAGGCTCCTACATGTCCCTCTCAAACCAAGGCGGAATCGTGCATCCCAAAACTTCCATCCAAGACCAAGACGAGCTCTCGTCACTGGTCCAAGTGCCGCTAGTAGCGGGAAGCGTGAACCGCGGCTCCCCCGTCATCGGTGCCGGGATGGTCGTCAATGACTGGTTGGCCGTTACCGGGATGGATACGACGGCGACGGAGCTGAGTGTTGTGGAAAGTGTGTTTAAGTTGGGGGAGGGTGCGCCTGGAGCTGTTGCTGGGAAGAACTTTATAGGTGCGTTTGGGAATACGCATAAGGAGAGTTTGGTGGAGAGTTTTTATTGAGCAACGGAGGGAGGGCGTGTGTCGTTTTGTGTCTTGTCTTTTCATTTACTCTTTTTTTCTGTCCTGGGTTTCCCGCGCGGGATTGAGAGAGGAGTGGGTGGTTGTTTAATTGTCATGGGCAAAGAGGGCTACGAAGATTTATAGATATGGTTTTTTTTTTTTTTTTTTTTTTTTTTTTCATTTCGTTCCTATTGTTGCAAAGCATGAATACTCTTCTTTGCGTTTTAAGAGTATGACAATTTCCATTTTTGTCCCTGGCAGCACTTATACATGTCTGCCAATCATATGATTCCAGTGGTTCTAATGTTCAATAGAACATTGAGATGGAGCAGGTCGTATATATGAATAAAAATTGAATGCATGCATTTACGCGGCTAGCATAGTACAGCATGATGAGAAAATAGTATTCTATTCCACTAACAGAATTCGAGAAACTACACGCACGAGAAAGTCTTTGTTGGCTTTTGGTCTTTTTCAAACCTCGTGTTGAAAACGAGGGTTCAACTGCTTAGTTTCTCCCTTTGAATTTCTGATCATTGAGGTATTATAGAATTCATTTGCTGAACTTTATGCATGGACTAGAGTTTGACGTGCTGATGTGGTGATACATTAGAAAGAAATCTGAATGAAATGTGTGGGAAATTGTAGGATTCTGGAGGGAGTATCATGAATGTATGTACAGGAGAATACGTACACGATGCATGAATAGCGTGACGTAATGGGGTGAGGTAGATGATGGAAAAGACATTTAGATGAATGCGTAGAATAGGGATGGGGGTCGGAGGAGGAGGTATATTCAGTGGACACGTGTGTATGTATATGGGTGTTTTATGCGAGAAAGATAGGAGAGAGGTTGAAGGGTTAGAGTGCGATATGTCAAGTTCAAGAATCAGAAATAGGGACTGAAGCTAGCTGTATAGCTAGTAGGGTCAACATTGGAGGACATGGCAGGGTAGCCACGCCCAGCCCATAGACTGCTGTCTTATTCCATCATTCCTTTCCGCTTTTGTGCTATTCTTGCCTTCGCCTCTGGGGGTTTGCATCGGAGTGTTATTAGTCGGGACGGAAGGTATGGTGATTGCCGGATGCTAGGGTATGGGCCGACCTGGCCAAAGGGTGGAAGATATGATGACCTATATGAGAGGATGAGCCTTTGCTGAAACTCAACTGTTAGTACCAGCCTGTGATCAGCGATGTTAGGCTTATGCGGTTCAATCTGATCAATTGAAGTTGACACCATAGCCACAGTTCCTCAAAAGCAAGGGATTGGATGGAAAGGGTGAATAGATCTCTACCCCGACATTGATGCTGTCAAGAAGAACAATATTCGACATCCACAGCAACTTTGTTTGTCTCATCGGGCAGAGAATGGAAAGCATCCAAGGATAATTGCTGTTCAAGGGTCCCATTTAAATCTTTTCCCGGTGCTCGATTTGCATTTTCATGATCCAGGGGTGTGGCACTTGATAGACTACTCATGTTTACGTCGGTATTTTCATCTATGCCAAATTCTTCATCCCCCCTACTTTGATCTTCGCCAGCGTCGCACATTTCGGACGTATCCGCAGGTGGAGGTGGGGGAGGCGGAGGAGGAGGTGATTCTGACCGGGTTCTTTTGCCCGGCGAGAAGGAGTTGGTACCATATCCATTGTCACCACCTTCGTCTCTTTTACGCTTATGGCTGTCTCTCGCTACATCTTCACACATATCTATAGGTGGTGGAGGAGGTGGAGGGGGCGTAGACGATTTTGTTCTCTTTGAAGGCGAAGCACCGGCTGTATCGACATCCACATCAAGATTTCCATCAGCATCTCTTTTGCGTTTGAGACTATTCTCGTCGAGGCTCATTGGCGATGATTTTTTATCTTCCAATTTGTCCATCTCATCATCTGACATCTTTATATCTTCTTCGACATCGCTTTCCTCCTTTTTACTATCCCTTATTTCTGGTTGTTGCGATAATTCGGGATTTTCGGTTGCATCCCTTGAGCCGCCCTCTGTTACTTTAGCTGCTTCCCTTGCTTTCCTCTCTGCCTTTTTCTTCTCGTACGCGAGGTGCTTCGCAACCGCTTTATCAAAGTACTCCTTACAGTACCTTTTAATTTGCTTTATTTGTTTGTCGCTAACTTTCGTTGGATCGTCCACGCGGTGGTTTTTAAAATCTGAATTAACGAGCTTTTTCCCCACCTGTGTATAATTACGTCAGTAAGCTAGCTGTTCAATTTCTGCATTTTCTCCATATATAGAGCCATACCTCTTTAGCATAGCGTTTCAACTCCTCTTTCGGTAACTTGTGTTTAAATTTATCCATTACGTACTTGACGTGAGGAAAGATCTGCAATCACAAGTCAGTATCGTCAACCTCCATGTAGGCTAAATAGATGCTGCATGTGCATACAGTGTTTTCATACAGCCTTTTTTGCTTTTCTTCGCTATACGATCGCCATTTCTCCTTGTGTTCCTTTATCTCTGGGGGTTTTGCATCTCGCGGTTGGGAGGTAGCAGGAGTCTCCGATTTATCTCGTGTTTTCGGTGTGTTCTCTTTAGCGTTCATAATACCATCGATAATATCCTGCAAGGCCTTGTCCTTGGACTCGGGTTTGGGGGGTGGAGGCGGCTGAGGTGCGGGTGCTGTTGGCCTTTTCCATGTCGTAGCACCTGATGCAGAATAATAGTAGGTCTTTCCATTCGACTCCGCCGCAAACCAACCTTGAGGTAGAGGATTGGCAAATGGCGGTCGTCGAAACGGTCTTGGTCCGTGGTGGTATGAATTGCGAGGAGGACCTTTGCCATTTCGAAGGGCAGCTGGGGCACGGGGAGCATCGATCGAGCGTGATCGTGACCGAGATCGAGATTTCGATCTTGGCTTTTGGTTTTCATCATTTCTAGATGACTCTCGTCGTTCGAACCGATTAACTGCTGTGGTGTTATTAGAAGCTGTTGGGTCTCTCTTCATCCTTGGAATTCGATAGCCAATTTCAAGGGTAGACCAGATCTGCAGAAGAGCTGCTGCTTTCTTTTCCACACGTTCATCACCACACCCTGTAAGGGGCTTGATTGTCACCTCGATCTTTGAATCGATGATCTTGTTTCGAGTGAGTCTCGGGAACTTATCTAGGATATCGAGAATTTGGAGTACGACGTTGAAATCGTCTTTCCAGGCACTCAGCTGGGAGTTGAGAATCTGGTATCCGTGCATCTTGACGACACGATTCCGTACACGCTCATCATCACAGCGTTGAATGCGTCCAAGTAATTTAACAGCAATCCATTTCTCTTTGCATTGCATCAGTGCAGCCATGACCTTGGTGACTCCATCTTCGTTCAACGACCTAGGTTGCATACTGTCGACATATTCTTCATCGTCCTCGCCAGTCTTTTTCTTGCGCGGCCGTTTCGCCACAGCAGTATCCCAGCCATCCGGGTCGTCGATACCCAAGGCTTCAATGGTAGCATTGGAGAGCTTCGTCGCACGTTCAGTTTGTGTTTTACCACCAATGAAGCCTGTGCAATTTGGCTCCCCGCAGTAACAAGGCTGTGGATCAGCTCCATAACGATCAACATTATAATTGAAGACTAGTTCCTCGCCAGCTTTGATGTGTCGCTCTGCGAAAATGCCCATCCGAAGCTTTTCTCCCACAACCCACTTGTCGACATAGCAATTGGGGTTGCACGAATGGTTGCAGAAGCGCCCAAGATTACCCTTTTTGGTGGCGTCGACAAATTCTCCCTTGGTGAGAGACATAAAGTAGAAATGCTTGATGCCTTCTTCATCATATGCAATCATGCGTTTCCGGAAGCTTGCCTCGTTGATGACTTCGCCTATATATTCGAATATGAACTGATGAGGTCGTAAATCGGAATCAGCACGTAGGCCATAGCCCTTCTTCTCGGTTTTGATGACCGTCACGTTGGCATATTGTCGTCGTTGGAAGCGTTGATTTTGGCATTCATCACCGCAACCGCAGTCTCCAACACATTCCATTTTTGTGGCTCGATTGATGCAATCTGAATCTTCTCCGCAAGCTCCATTTTTGCCGGCCACAGGATCTGGAAATTCTTATCAGCATGAAGACGTGCAGAGACTTGGTCAAAGACGTATGAGATAAAATTTGATATAACGAGTTGCTTAAGAAACAAATTCATTAAGCAGTTAGTTCGAGGAATTGGGGGTATAAAAGCACAGGTATTTGGTTTTGTTCGTTACGCATTTAAGTAGGGGCATAAGGAAAAGAAAGTTATAGCTTACCCCACTCCTCTGAGCAGTCGCACTCCATAGCATGTTCCGTATAACCCATGTATTTATTGGCATACGTGCAGTCATCTATAACTTGAAATGTAGAGGTAGCTTCAGCAGTACTGTCTGGAAGATGGTCAAAAAGTGGCGCCGGTTGAGGCACCACCTTCTGTGAACCGACCCGTGACAACTTTGGCGGTTGGCCAGGTTCCAGTTTGACGGTTATGGAAACGGGCAATTTCTCTTCAGGTTGCCCATTTTCGACTTTCGCAGCGGGAGAGTTGCTCCCGCTTTGCGATTTTTGTTCTTGGGAAATACTTTTAGTGGGGCTTGACTTTGAAAACCCATTGGGATAATAATTCGCAGAATCTGATGCATGGGTGCTGTCGATGGGTGTGCTCTCTGCTGAATTATCACGTTTGATTTTCAAGGCAGTCACTGCGTCGGCTACTGCTTCCGGCTGGATATCATCATCGTCATGGAGAGCCATGATCAAACAGAGGGCAAACAATAGGAAATGAGCAGGATGATAGTATTTAAGTATCAACTAGTCCGCGCTTGCAGCAAGTATTCAAAATTAGATAAGGTGCCGGTAAGTATTCTGATTGATTGTTTCCCTTGATGTTGATGTTACTACCAGAGTTGAGGTTGGCGAAGAGGTAGAGTAGAGTTGGTTGCTGAGGCGGCCCAGATATTGTGTTAACTGATAATTATTAATTTGATTGCTTGATAACAGACGGACCGTCTATGACTAGCCTAGCGAGATGAACGGATACCAGATTACGGGCATAAACCAGATCCAGGGGATGCCCCGTCTGAACCTGTCTGGTTGCTAACAGGCCGTGGTGCAGAGCAGCGCTCCCAGCGAAGACGTGAAGGTGGATGTCAGGAAAGCGAGGAGGTTGCGGGCGAAAAGAGAGTTGAGTGAGGATGTGGTAGGAATCACGGTGGTGCGTGGATGAAGGCGGTGTCATTGGGTGGCCTGTACAGGCTTAGCGCGATGATAGCAACGGTTCGAAAATTATATGCCGGAGGACCAGACAAGAGGAACGACAGCAGCAAAATTTGCCCAAGCATCAAAGTTGGCCTAGCAGTTGTTGACGTCGAAGAAGAATCGCTTAGATGATCATGTGAACAACACACATCTATCCTTTTCCAGCTCCCTAGCAAAAAAATAAACGGTGGAGAAGTGGCACTGCTGAGATCCTTGCGCAGTGACACTGGTTGGTTGCTCGACAACCACTGGGGAAACACCGTTGAACGGTCCTCTGTTGAATTTTGAATGTTTCTGTTCCTCTTTACTCTTCCTTCTGTGATGATTGCTTGTATCTAGTTCTCGAGATGAGAAAGCACGAATAATCGACCCCTTGGTGGAAGACAGGATGTCTGTTCTCACGAAAGTTTTCAAGCCTAAAGAATGGTGAAGCTTGTCGCTCCCGAGCCAAAGTTTCGGGAAGCAAAAAGAACAGGCTGGCGGTGGCTAAACACAATCCGTGAATGCCATTATTAATCTATTGAGTGCTACCTGGCTTGGGCTCCCCACGCAATTTCAGCAGTGAGGGGAGAAATAACAAAAAGGTTGCAAATCGAAAAAAGGCGCTGTGGGTAAGAAGCTGAAGTTGTTATCAAACCAAATTTCTTGTAGTGTTTTCGTGTCTAAAATAGGGTGGCGCGTGGAATTAACAGTAGCTCCCAAAAAAAACCCTCGATGATTCTTCCCACCCATTTGCCTCGTTTCCCGCGCTACAAAGAAGTTTATTCGGGCACAAACTCCCAAGGGTTCATCACTCGCTGTACCCCTCACAAGGACGTCAACCCGCATGGGTTAAGATCAGTTCCCCGACATTTGCACTCCACGCCCTGGAGGATATCGTCTTCAAATCAGACAATATCCATCATCAGAGCATGAGTGTCCCGCTGTATGCTGTAGGTAGCCAAAGACAGTCGACTATTCTATTACTCTTTGGAAATCAGTGATATCTAGCTAAGCATTCGCTGGGAAGAATCCACCTAGGATAACCCACCGCCAACTTCCGCGCTCTGTGCTGCGCGGCAATTCCTCCGATTGGGATAATATCATTGATGATGGGATCTTCTTTCCGGCAATTCGTAACCTGGAATCAAGAACCATGACTATCCAGAAGCCATTGATTATAATTCACAAGACAGAAGAAGCAAAGAGATAGTTTAAAGCCTACAAGACAGCAGACAGATATCATAAAATAAATAATATAATAAATATTATAATAATAAAGAGAAAAGAATAAAAAAAATTATAGAAACCAAATTCATAGGCGAATAATCGTGGTCAACAGAAGGATGCCTAGAGTGACTCGATTTCCCTCGATGCATCAAAATCACCAAGTATTCAGAGGTATATGAGAGTAGTGGTCTCCAAGCAGCTAAAGCTTGAAATCATTCCGCACCCCAGGAGTAATAAAGAAAACACATGAAAACCTGACGATCTAACGGAAAATATACCAGCAATATGCTCCGCTATTCGAGACATAACGTATCTCAGTGATATTGTTGGGTTGGGGGAGGGGGGGGGGGAAATGAGTAAAAAAGGAAATGAAAAAAAAGGTGCAAAGTCCTTTACCCAAAGACTTGATCTAAAAAGCTGGGCCGATTCAAAATTATTTTGTAGCATCCAGCGCAACGCATGCTGGTGCTGCACAAATGAGGAGCGGGAAGCTGACTGACAACAAGTTATTTGGAGTAAATGGCCAATGTCAACGTGGCCGTTTGTCGCACCGTCTTAGTGAGATGAGATGTTGTAAGGTGCCACCGCAGCATCAGTTCGAGATAATAATAAATGCCGTCTGTCATGGCTTCCAGCTGAGGGGTCACTAACGTGCTGATCTATATAAACCTCCGCAAGGACAGCTAAATGAATCGGTGATGTGTGTTTCCTTCACTAAATCCCTACTTGACTCCCTGAAACTGCACAAGGTGGTGGCGTCGGGAATCACGCATACGAGTGCCGAACGTGGAGAAACAGGTATCAACTGAAGTGGCCAAACCAAATCAATTGGGGAGAAGGTGAGCAGTGAGTAGGAAAGCCAAAAAGTTTCAACCAAAAAATGGATTAAGAGAATACGTGCCGCCGCTCCTGAAGATAAAAGCCGGAGATTTTGATAACATAGTCAAATGGGGAGTGAAAAAACCCGCACCACAGTTTGCCGAATTCGTGTAACAAATGTGAAACGTGCGATACCGCATTTCCCCGCGGGCCGTGAATAGGCGTGGACAAAGTCTGCGATTCGCTCGAGCTTCCGCTACGCCATAGTCGGGGGGAAACATCCACGGCTTGGGGCTGGCGGCTGACAGAACCGGCTTTGACTGGCTGCGGGGGAAGGTAGCGATCGACGATACCGAGAAGCTGATGGCAGGGGATAACTGGGTTGAAGTGGACGACGGACCAGCCATCGATGAAGCCACAGACAGGGCTGACTTGGTTCTGAGTCCTCTCGAGTCACGGGTCACGCTATGGATGTGCTCATCGCAGGTGAACTCCTGTTGGCGTTGCGTTGGGTAGGTTAACTATACTACATACCTTGGTGGTTTTGAGAATTCCCGAGACAGACAGTGACATGTATCCAGATTCCAGCCATCTATCGCAAATCCGGTTTTGAAGGAAAAGCAGGAATTGCCTGGGACTATGTCGCAAAAGCCACGAGGAGAAAGCAAAATAAACAAAGGCAACCTTATATCACCCGTGCTTGGTGCGGTCAGATCCGCGTGCACAAGAGGATCCCGCAAAGGCTAAAAAGAGGGTAACCTAACGTTCGCGTCCCTGGCTTAACTTAACGGCACGGAGCACTGTAGACCAATGATCGTCGATAACGGCTTCAGAGAGGGCTTTCCGGATCGATGCAAGTGGCCAGCCGGGACAGGTAACTTGGAATCGCCCGCGCCATGAAAGTTGAAAGTTGAGACATCAAACCATGCCCATGCAAATTGATGCAAATGAACTGTTGGTGTGTGCGCAATCATCGCTTCACATCGTGTTTGCAGAGGACCAAACCTAGGTGTGAATCCGGCCGGGTACATGACTCTATCGAACAAGAGTTGCGACACTAGCCACTTTAATCCACCGGGCTGAAGCTGTCGCAACCTGTGGAGACAATGTAATAATCATGCATCCATTTTGATCGGATGAGGTGGGAAGAGCAGATTTTGATGATAGGCTGCTGACGATCTGTATAGTATTTGTCGTAAGTTGTTACCTTTCTTCTGTCTTTTATTCTTATGTCTATGTAATGTACTGTACTGTATGTACTGTATGTACTATACTGCACATAGATACGGAGTGTATCCGACTTGCATATATACATACATATATTACAGGATGTGAAATATTATTTCCATACTTCTACATATCCCAATAATGTTCTATTTGCTGCTCTCTTCCGTTCCAATTATTCTCCGTTGATCAGAAACCAATGTCCATTTTTATTAAGCTTCATGAAGCATCAAGGTTTCAACTGTTTATTTATCTTTTCAAGGGCGTTGACCTCCCTTTGAATTCTTCCGAGGGTTTGACCCTTCTCTTCGTTTATTACACTACTAAATTTACTCTGCATTCTCGCAGATCGTTTGCCGACGCTCGGTCCCTGCACACGCTGTGCTCGGCAGGTATTCTACCTCGCGTATCCGCCCTTACTATTGCTCCTTGCCTTCGAAACAACTCGCCTCTAAGCAGGCTGATCCCAAACGTGCTGCCGTTGTGGAACACCAAACCCTCGTTGATTATTACTGCTAGAAGTATCAATGACGGTCTCGCGATGGTATGCCAGGGTAGTATGCCCATTGCCCGCTATCTATTTTTCGTTCAGGTTGTCTCTTGCTGATATGGTGTACATACCCAGCTAACATGTTTCTGTATACGATCGACGTAATTTTCTACATACAATCCAAGGATCTAGGATTTTTAGACAGAATCATTTGGGGAATGTTCCCTTCAATACTCCATATATGGAGCGCCGTAAGGCACCAGAAAAGGTAAAAACACCAAAGCGAAGTCAACGGTTACATACAGACCATACCACACCTTAGGATTTTTTTTTTTTTTTTCTCATCTTCATTTATTTTATCTGTTCTGGAACCGCTGATTCTTTGCTCTTAATTAGGAGTTAAGCTGTTGCCATCGATGCTGACACTGACCAACTGATGAGTTGTTTTGTTGTTGCTTTGATGCTTACAATTGCAGCATGCCATCTTGTCCAATAATCTCTTCCTCGGTTCTTTGTTTTGTCCTCCTGCAGCGTGCAGCTCCAATCCGCATCGTGTAGCCCGTCTTTGCCTGCATGAAGCCATTCCACAACCCCTCCCCTTCCCATATTCCCCTCCAATTAATTGCGTCGCTGGCTCTCCACCCAATCCGCTAG